ATTTTCTGTTAGACCAGGCTGGCTAGCCAACAAGACCCAGGGATTCATCTGTCTCCACCTTCCCTGTAGCACTGGGATTATAAATACACACTACCACATTTGGCTTTTTACATGGGTTCTAGGGCTCAAACTCAGGTCTTCATGTTTGCACAGCAAGAATTTCCCATCTTAGCCAAAAAGCCAAAAATTGGTACAACAAGCGTGTTCCCACAGAGTTACCGCCCCAGCCCCAAGATGAAACATTTACATGACAACAATAGGCAAATCTGTAAATACACTGAATGAGAGCAAAATGACAAAAGACTACACGTTGGTATGCATATTGTATAGCATTTGCATAATATAGGAGATACAAATGAATCTCTACTGACAGAAAGTAAATGCTCCGTCCCTAGGAACGGGGTGGGGGTGGCGGGGGAAGGCGATAGCTGAGAGATGATTGGCTATAACTAGGACACTTGGAGAGATGTGGTATGTTCACTGCCTTGACTGTGGTCATGATTTTACGAGTATGTACATCTATCAAAGCATATTGATTTGTACACTTTAGAAAAGATGAGGTCTACTGTGTATGAATGATGCCACCATCATGCTGATTTTGTTTTAAATGAGTGCCTGTGACATAGCAAGCCTTCTAAAAGTGTTACCTATTACAGAGCAATTACTGTGTTAAAATGTATTTGAGGTGAAATGTTTTCAAAGAGCATCTCATCAGCTCATCAGAAAATCAATTTTCTCCCCATTTCACCCCAGCCTAGCTACCTTTGCCTTCCTGGAAATAGTCATGAATAAACATGAATTAAGGGAAGAAGGCCAGGCACTGAGGTCAGAAGGCTGAGTTCAAGGTCCCACCCTACCATCTAGCACATTGCATCATATGCCCTGGACTTGTCTCAGATGTAAATAGTATAAAGCTACACCACATGATTGCTGTAAGAACCAGATTTTTAAAAATGGATGTGAGGTCTGGCAAGATCACTCAGTGGGTAAAAACACCTGCTGTGTAGCCTGAAAATATGACTTGGATTCCACAGATCCATATGATGAAAGGAGAGAACTGACTCCTACAAGTTGTCCCCTGACTCCACACAACTGCTGTGGCACATGTGTGCCCACACAAGTGTAGACACACATGAACAAATAAATGAAATCAAATCAATTTTAAATTGATGTGAGCACGTGCTAAAGTAATGTGAACATGTCAGCCGTGACGACTATGGAAGAGAAATGCTGATAAGCATTTGTGGTTTTGCAAACTGGTTACCAGAGAGTGAATAAGATGAAAATACAATTTAACAACAGCAATAGCCAAAACCTCACCTCACATGGGAGAATCTTATTTCTGTTCAACTGATAATCCTACACACTCACTTGGGAGGTTAAAGTAGGAGAAATTTGGGTTCAAGGCTAGCCTGGGGTACATAGCAAGACCCAGTCTCAAAAAGCAAATAATAATAATAATAAAATAATAATAATAATACCTAAGATACTTTTTAAATTTTTAAAGATTTCTTTTTAAAAATATTATATCATTTTTATTTTATGTGTATGAAGGTATTGCCTGTATGCATATAAGAGCACCTGTGTCATGCAATGCCTTGTAGGTCAAAAGAGGGTGTTGAATCCCCTGGAACTGGAGTTACAATCAGTTGTTAGTTACTATATGGGTTCTGGGAACTGAACCTGGGTCCTCTGCAAGAACAGTCAGTATCTTAACTGCTGAGCCACCTCTCCAGCCCCCTAAAAACTAGATTGCCAGTCCTTCCTCTCTGCTTATTGAATCGGAAGCCCCTGAGGGTAGGGCAGGAATATCACATTTTAAAGAAAATTTCCCAGTTGGTTCTGACAGGGCTGGCCATACTGATCTTTAAAGACACCTGCTTGACCTTGACACCCCTCATTAAGAAATGGGAGCTGCTTGAGACTCTGTTGCTCAGGAGGAACTTGACTTCAGCCTCCAGAAGAGGATGCATCTCTCATAATGGCTGGGAAGTATCTTTTCACATGCACTTAGCATCTGAGCGCTTTCTTTACCATCTCCATTCATGTCTGAGCACTTACACTCTTGGGGTTCTTAGTGGCTGAAGATTATCTTCAAAGATTACATATCTCCATAATGCAAATGTGTATTACTTATTTTCTCTCTAACTTCTCATTTCGGGGTGGGTGGCAACTGTGTCATTTGCTAGTGTCTTACCTTTGACAACATATCTGAGACGGGCAGCTTAATGCCAATATGAGACATATTTCTGTGTAAGAATTGCATTTGAAAATAGAGAAGTGATGCATTTGTGTCAACCGAAATGTCTGAGGAACAAAGACTGGAGTTCCCATCTCCTGTCTCTCATCATTTGAACCTGTCCAAGACACAAAGAGAAAGGGTATTTCTTTCTGTGTCCTAAAGATCTATCTGTAGCTGGTTTCTCTAAAATAAGATGCACATGAGTGCAGCCTTAAATCTCTTATTCTATGATTTATTATTCCATGCATTTGGACCATTTTGGGGGAGAAAAAAGCAAGCCTCTCAGAGCCAAGTGGAAGGCCAGTCAGTGGGGAGGAGAGCCCGGAAGGGACTGTGAGATCTGGAGAGTGGATAGTCTATAAATGGGATGCCCTGACTGCTGCCACGTGGGAATGGAAGGAGAGTGCCAGATTCTCCAATCCCTATTTCTGAAGAGAGGACAATAGAAATAGCCCTTTATACATCGGCAAACTAAGGGGAAAATATATTGAGTAAAGGATATGAAATAACTCCAAGTGAACTTTAACTGGTGGACTACACACTTGTACCCTCTGATTAACACCATCGCTCAAAACTATGATTCCTGACAACTGAAAAAAAAAATCAAGCAAAGAACTATGCTAGCAAATCCTCATACTCACACGGCCAGACAGTGGTATTATACACACACACACACACACACACACACACACACACACACACCAAATTCCAACTATAATACGAGCTGCGTCATCATGGGAAGCCAGAGTACTCAAATAACTACCAATCTGAACACCAGCTTGTAAAATCCCAGCCATGGTGGACTAGAGACTGGCTTCCTGCCAAACAGGGATATACAAAGACCTGCATCCTCCTTCTCCGTGCAGTCTGGATCATCCATGCATGTCAGGTGGTGACTTTAATCCCAACATAGGAGAGAAAATAGCCAGAGCCAGGGTTAAAGCATTGCACCTAAGTGATGTTGAGAAAGATTGGAGCAAGGATCAGACTTTCTTTATGAGACATGGGCATGCAGGATGTGATGTGGTGAGGACTGCCTCCCCTTTTGGGAGGGATACTATTTTCTCCTGCTCATATGAAACTAAGAGAGATGGTTTCATAATCTGTGCTAAGAACTGACACTTGGGGCACTTAGGCCATAAGCTGTCTCTATTTGAAGACCAACATACTATAGGAATACATAGGCTCCAGTTGATTTGTGATTAGATGTTATAGGGTCTGGGATCATCTTTTACGCTTCCAAAAATATAGATTGCTTTGTGTGTTTTCACTTGTGACAAATGCAGAGGGAAACAACCTTAGTGGTCCAATCCCAGCAGAAAACAGGACAGAACCAGAGAGTGTTTAAACTTGTAAGCTAAACTGCTAGAGAGTTAAACTCTCAGAAGACATGGACAAGGACTCAACATTAAAGGTGGGACATGAGGGGCACCTATCACCATTGATCTGAAGGGCCAAGAGATGGGAGTAAAAGGCCAGGTTTGGTGGTCCATTCCTATAATCTCAGCACTTGGGTAAAAGCTGAGGCGGGCGCATTACCACAAGTTCCAGGCCTGCCTGGAATACATAGTGCGTTCCAGGCCAACCTGAGGTACATAGAAAGACCCTATCTCAAAAGAAAATAGGAATTGGAGCGATGATTCAGCCGAAGACCTGAGTTCAGCTCATAGCACCCACATAAAGCAACTCACAACCACCTGTAACTCCAACTCCAAGGAATCTGACACCCTCTTTCAGACTCTGCAGACCGACATCACATACCCACACACAACTACACATATACACATAATTTAAAATAATTTTTAACCTTTGAAAAGTATAAACAATAACAAAGACTGGGGTGGTAGGGGCAGGGTAGGATGAGGGACTCTGTCATCAAATCCCAGCACAAGCTCTTTGGGTGGAAGGGAATCTATGGCAGGACTTGTGTATGTAGGAGCAGGCCTGAGTCTTTGTTTTCCCACTCTCTCATCTCCTGCCAAGTCTTCCCTCTGGCTGACTTCCTCCCAGAACCCAGATGACAACAGAGCCCAGGAAATTTAGTCCGCAGAGTATAGCCTCTTGAGTCATCAAGTAGGACAGAAGGTGTCAGACATGGATCCAGGAGAAGGGGACAACAATTTATCACAAAAGGCAAAAGGAATTGCAGCTCATGGAGTGGTAGAGCAGGAAATGCCTTTTCATCCTATAATCTTCTCATTGGCATTTTGCTGATGAGGAAACCGAGGGCCACAGGATTAAAATGAGTGGGTAGACGTCGACCTAATGAAGCGTGTACTTGAAGCCAAAGGCAGTTGATCTTCATAGACATTTTCGAGACATTCTTCTTCATTATTCTGGGAATCTTGAGTCAAAATTCCTATTAGATTTGACAAAAGTGAGACATCTATCCTACCGTTTTTCCACTGCTGTGCCCATCAGACATCATTAATTGGTCACAGATGTCTTTCTTGCTGAGTCCAGATGTGCTCTCAGACTCTCCTACATTAATGATGATTTTTATCTTGTTCTATCACCTAATTAATATAGCATGGTCTACATCTTCAGAACAAAATCTCTGATTGTTTGCTATGTCTAGTAAAATTTCCAGCCTTGAAGCTTAGCTCATTCTCTGCAGCAGCCAGAAGACTTTGGATTTGCCAGCCTGGGTGACTCTCTGGAGGGTATTCAAGGTTTGGATGAAGGGAAACACACCACAAAATCAATATGTTTGGAGAATAATAATAAAAGTCCTAAGGTTTTCTTTTTCTCCTTTCAGGTGGACAGGACAGAGGTGATCCGCACGTGCATAAACCCAGTGTACTCAAAACTGTTTACGGTGGATTTTTACTTTGAAGAGGTCCAACGCCTTCGGTTTGAAGTCCACGACATCAGCAGCAACCACAACGGGCTGAAGGAGGCCGACTTCCTGGGCGGCATGGAGTGCACACTTGGCCAGGTAGACAGCAGGCATTCCTTCCTGAGGGCCTGCACCCTTCCTTTTACCTTCCTCCCCTCATCCGATCTTGGCTTTTGTTTTCCTGTTGTTATTTTCTTTAACTTGTAGCATTTTACAACATTCTGGGCACTGTTGTAATAACTATATTTACAAGGAAATGATCGTACAAACATATGGCGTTACTTATTTTGTGGAATTAATAGACTCCTTTCTGAATGTCTTCGTTGTGTTGGTCATTCATTCAATAACTGTTTATTGGCCACTTACTATGTGGTGGGTTCCATGCTCTGCTCCTGGGTCTGTTACAGCCTTATCTTGTCCCATTGCAAATGTCCATCTCTCAACCGAGCTGTAAGAACCCCAACCCAGAAAATATTCCTCATTCAAATTTATTCAAAATCTCTGGTGACAAAAAAAAAAAAAAAAAAGATCCAAGATTGCGACTAAATACTTGGTAACTGAATAGCTCCTTTAATTTAATCCCAGAAAGAATATGAGTAAATATTATTACTATGTTCATTTGATCAGGAAAAAATCAGACTCATAGAAGTTAAGTGATTTAACAAAGGTTCCTCCTTGCAAGCGGCAGAGCCCCAAAGCCCACCAGACCTTTTCCTTTATAGCCTTCCCTTCGACTCTCCCCAGAACTATGGTGAGGGTTGAGTGAGAGTTAAGGGCAAAAATAGTCTCTGATCTCCCCAAAATGGGCAATATAGGGCAATATAGGGGGAGAAGATATGTCCTCAGATATATCAATTTATTTGATATCCTGAGCCTGTACCTAGTGTTGTGGACCTTGAGAAAAAGGGTAACCTTCTGTCCTGGATAGAGTCAAAGAAGACACCATCAAACCAAAGGGGGGGCATGACTAGAGAGTGGCTCAGGCATTAAGAGCATCTGCTCTTAATGTTTCGATTCCTGTCACCCACATGGTGGCTCTGTTGCCCTCTTCCAACCTTCACAGGCACTATACACATACCAAGAACATACTGGCAGTCAAAACAAATAAAAATAAATAAATCATTTTTTTACTTTGAAAAGTTATATTTTGTATTGAGCTTTTTAAATTTCATACATTTCTCAATCAAATCCAGACCCCTTTCTCCATCTGTGCCTCTCCCATCCCCCCACCGAACCCTGTCATACATGCTGAGTCCTATTCATTCAGGTGTTTGGACCCAAATGTTCTTTAGTGTAAATGTGTCCACTGGGGTCTATTCAGCCCATCCAGTGGCCGCATGTAAGTCATACTCTACCTTACCCAGCAGCAATCAGTCTCAAATAGTTCTCAATCTAGTGCTGGCCTGCCACCTATTTCTCATCTCCCCTTTGGAGCCTTGTTTAATTGAGCTTACATGGGTCCCATGCTTAATGCCGCCACTGCCACAGTCTCACATGTGCAAGCTTCCAGTGGCCTGGAAGCCTCCACCTCCCTGTATTCATGAACCAACCCTGGATCTTACAATCTTTCCATCTCCTCTTCCACAGTGGTCCCTGATCCTGAGTGGGTGAGGTTCCATATGAGTCCCATCCTACACTCTACAGTCTCTGATTCTCCAAAACTTGGCCAGTTGTGGCCTTCTGTGTGCATCGTTCTCCACTGTACATGGAAGCCTCAGTGGTGAGAGTTGAGGGATGCATTAGCCCTCTCTCTATGCCTTACCCCATAGCGGAATAAGGGGTACAAATCATTTTTAAAAAATGGTCCGGGCATGGCAGAGGAAGGAGGGAGACTTTCCCAGTAAGAAAGTGATGCCAACAAGTCATAAAGATCACATGACTTGTTGCTCATCAGGAGTATGGGGCGAAAGGAGCCCAGTGTCTCTGAACCAGACCAGGTGCTGACTTCCTGCGAACCAGTGAAGATCAGACTTTAAAGCCCTTATGTCCCAGGCTCCTGCCAAGGCTGTGTTACATTATTTGTATGGTTGTACATTTTCACAAAGAGAGATTCCAAGTTATAGAAGCCTAAAGCCTCACCAACCCTGCATTCATCCCCTGCCTTAGGAGAAGGGATCTGCAAGAGTCGGTCTGGCAAGGAAAAGGCAAGCCCCTGTGTTTGTTTGTGCTTACCCGCCCTCATGCCTTATCATTAAAGGGAAGTTCTCCCTGGAGAGGAGTGACAACACAGAATGTCCCTGTTAGCCTTTACAGGGAAGGCGGTATTTATCTTCACAGGACTGTGCCTTACTCCTTCAGTGAAAGCCAAAGGCCCAGAGTAGAAATTCACCTATGGGGAGGCAGGGAGAGAAACCGAGGAGTCAGAATCTTTTCCATTGAAACAATCTCTCTAATGACTTTTGATGAGAGCTGGTGACAGACAATTGTGGGGTCTTTCTGGATACAGTACATCAGGTACAAATTAAATAGATAAATTATGGGTTTGGGGTAGAATTTTGTTTCTATTGACATTTTCAAAAGTTTTGTTCAATTTTTTTTTTTGGTGTGTGTGTGTGTGTGTGTGTGTGTGTGTGTGTGTGTGTAGGTGCCCACATAAGCCAGAGACCTTAATTCTCCTGGATCTGGAGTTTTATGTAGCTGTGAACTTCCTGACATGGGTGCTGTGAACTGAACTTGGATCCTCTGCAAGAACACTACATGCTCTTAACCACTGAGCCATCCCTCCAGCCCCCTGTTTCTTTCTTTTTTCTTTTTTTAAGAAGATGATTAAAATGACATCTTTTATAGATTTAAATGGGTCAAAGCAAGATTCTCCCTCAGACAGTAGGCATTCCTTCTATGGATAAAAATTGTGTTTTAACGCAGGAAATAAATGTAGATCTCTGTAGAAGTCATTTGGATAAAACATCTTTTTCACTTAAAGATTTGATGATTTTGTCCGTGCAAATGACCTCAAACTTGTATTTTAGTTCACCACAAGGGTCATCTTCCCAAATGCCAATGAGTCTTCGACACTGTTTTGTACCAGCCATTGTGCTAGAAGCTGGCAGTACAAAGGCAAGTAAAGACAGTGTCCTGCCTTTGGGACGCTCACAGCCTAGTTAGGTTAAAAGTGGAAGGCAGTTAACCAGATCACAACCGTTCTGACCATAGTGAAGGGGAATTACAGAAGTCAGAGTGTTGTGAGATTGACATCAGATGTGTGTGGGGAGGGGGTTGGGTAAGGTCAATGAAGGCTTCCCAAGGAAAGTGACATTTACACTGAAATAGTGAGAAGAAAGAGGAAACAGCTTCCCAGCAGATGGGGAGATGATATGAAAAGCATCTGGATTCAGAAAAGCATCTTTGTTTGGTTTTGCTAATGTGCCAATTCTGAAATAGGAAGTGAAAAGAAACAAGATACCATAATGGTCTGGAAAAGTGATCCAGGAAAAGGAAGCCAGCCCATGAGGGTTTGTGGTCAAGTCAACTGATGTGGTAGGTAACTGAGGCTTAGTTTTTCTGGGAACATTTTGGAAGTACTACAGGGCAAACACCATAGTTCTCCCCAGGGATGAGGAAATTGGGTGTTTGGACACTCTGACTGTCTACACTCAGACTGTTACCTCACAAGCAATTGACTGAGAGTTGTTCCTAGGGTGGAAACACCAGTCTCCCAGGCAGCGTTTCTAGCTAGCTACATGAGTAGCAAAGAAAGCTTTAGAGATCAACTAAAGCTTCAGGCAAGGAAGTTCAGTGGCTGGTGGTCAGAAGGTACTGGTATGCACTCAGGTGATAGGAGCAGGGTGACTCCTTACTCCTTCTATGGGCTGTCTACGTAATACCCAATCATCTTAGGAGTCAGAACCAGGTTATGTTTAGATCATTTTCTACCATGTGGCTATGTAGAAAATAGCCCTATTCCTAGATTAGAAATGGATCCTGAGTAATCTTAGCCAACCACACAGATGCTGTCCACCCACTTGCCAGAATATGGCTTTGGGGTATGCCTACAGCCAGTCAAACATGAGGGTGTTCTCTGAAAGTGCCTAGCTTAGGAGCACAAATAAAGAATGCTTCCCTCTGCCTGTGATTCCTGGAACACTGCAGCTGTCTGCAGCAAGGTTGGGCTGTGCACAACCCCCAGGGCACCAGAGGCAAAAGATAGCCATCGAGGCACAGGTCTGACCTGCTGCCCCTGGAGCCAACTCCAAGTGACATTCACTGGCAACCACCTTCTCATTTTGTTGGCTGTGTGACTGGTGGGAACCACACACCAGGGTTCAGCACTGCTTTGATTGTAATCAATCAAAGTGTCCCCTTTTTATGGCTATAGCGATTGGTTTGGTGGATGCCATGTAAATTATCCATTCATTTATTTAATCATCCTTTCAACAAGCATTTATCAAGTGGCCTGGATATTCCAATTACTGTGCTTGGTGCTAGAGAGAAAAGGATGACAAAGACAGAGTCTTTGCCCCGGAGAAGCTTATAATTAGTCGGGTGGAATAGAACTGCAAGTAAATAATCAACAGTACATCACTTGTGCTACAACAGTATGTGTTCCAGGAGTTGTTGGAGAAAAGCTTATATCTGCCCAAAGAGAATGAGGGAGGTCTCTCAGGAAAGATGACTTTGAACTTGAATCTTGAAGCATGAATAGCACATCACCAGCAGAAGAAAAATAGGACTTTCCAAGCAAAACTACCAGAATATAAAAGACACGATGGTGTGGAGGGAATGGCAGAGAGCTCTGAAGTGACTGTACATGGCTGGATGGTCCAGGGAGGATGGGATGAAGATGCTAGAAAGAAAAGGAGAAGCCAGACCACATGGCTTTAAGTGCTTTTCTCTTAAATGGGAAGAACTTGGATTTGATGCAAGGAGGTCTTGGTAACCAGGGGAAAGACAAGATTAGACGTGTGCATTAGAAAGAGCACTTTAGCATGAAGTACTTTAGCTCATGAAGGATGCATGAAAGAGGTTAGACATGAATGGGGAAACCACTTCGTGCAGTAGCAAAGAGATGAGGAGGCAGTGACAGAGTCTGAGAAGAGGCTGCCCAGAGGACCAGTGTGCAGTCAATAAGCCTGGGAGACTGGGGGCGGGGGCAGTGTCTG